CTAAGCGAAAGTTGGATGCTTAACCGACTAAGCCACCCAGGCGCCCCGCTCTTTGTACATTCTGAATTCAATTTCTTGGAGATATAGATAGATAGATAGATAGATAGATAGATAGATAGATAGATAGATGTATATAAATATATTTTCCTGGTTTGTGGCTTTCTGTTTTTCTCTTTTTATGTTGTTTTATGAGTAAAAGCTTATACTTTTCCTAAGGTGTACAATTTATATGGTGTTTAAGAAATTTAGCTTATCCTCAGGTCATCATGAAAATTTCTATTTCTTTTAAATAAATTATAGGGGTGCCTGGTGGCTGAGATGGTTAAGCATCTGAGTCTTGATTTCCCCTCAGGTCATGACCTTGCAGTTCATGAGATCAAGCCCTGCCACAGAGTCTGCTTGAGATTCTCTCCTCCTCTCTCTGCCCCTCTCCCTGCTTGTGTTCTCTCTTTCTATATATAAATAAATAGATAAATAAATAAATGTCTTCTCTTTCACATCTAAGCCTATATATATATATTCGCTCAGCGAATAATAATATATATTATATAAAATACATAAATGTCTTCTCTTTCACATCTAAGCCTATATATATATATTTGCTCAGCGAATAATAATATATATTATATAAAATACAGCTAAAATTGAATTTTGTTTATGATCTGAATTAAGACTCATGATATGTTTTTTTGACACATGGAGAGTCAACTGACCTTGTAGCATTGTTGTGCAAAGCCATTCTTTCCCTATTGCACTGCAGTAGCAACATTGTTATAAATCAAGTGAGTCTCTATGTGGTTTGCCTCTAGATTCTATATATTGTTCCACTGGTCCATTTTCCAACATTACAGTCTTACTTAGTATATTTTTATAAGTCTAAATATCTGGAACTATAAGAACTTTGGTCTCTTTCAGGATTTTTTTTATACTATTTTAGATTTTTTTTCGTTTCCATACACATTTTAGAATAGGTTTATCAATTCCCACAAAATCCCAGCTGAAATTTCATTGAAATTAGTTTGTTTTTTGTTTGTTTTACTTAAACTCAAGTTAGTTAACATACTGTGTAGTCTTGGCTTCAGGAGTAGAACCCAATGCTTCATCTCTTACATATGAAATCCAGTGCTCATCCCCAAAAATGCCCTCCTTAGAGCCCATCACCTCTTTAGCACATCCTTTCACCCACCTCCCCTCCAGCAACCCTCAGTTTGTTCTCTGTTTTTAAGAGTCTGTTATGGTTTGCCTCCCTCTCTGTTTTTATCTTATTTTTCCTTCTCTTCCCTTTTGTTCATCTGTTGTGTTTCTCAAATTTCACATATGAGTGAAATCATAAGACATCTGCCTCTGAATGAATTATTTCACTTCTAGTTTCATTCCTGGCTCTCTCAAGCTGTATTTGAACCAGCTTAGGAAGTCTTCTCTTCTCTCCCCCTGAAAGCCACATTATGTGAGTAATATATTTTCATACCATCTTGGTGTGTATATGTGTTGTCATCGGTATCAATAGTTGAATCAAATTTTGAGTGGAGATCCATCCTGCCTCTGTAGGGTGGCTATAATAATTGGTACTGTGAGCGGGATGTCTAACTGATGACTGTTACCACTGAGGTCCTTCTTTTCTTGCTTTGCCTTTTGTAATATAGCTCTGCCATCTACTTGCAAGCATGTAGTTTGAGTTACTGCATTTTTTTTGTTTTGCTTTAGTTTTATTTATTTATTTTTTACAAATAGTTTATTGTCAAGTTGGTTTCCATATAATACCCAGTGCTCATCCCCATAAGTGCCCCCTTCCATGCCCATCTCCCCTTCCCCCCACCCACACCCATCAGTCTTCAGTTTGTTCTCAGCATTCAAGAGTCTTTCATGGTTTGCCTCTCTCCCACTCCCCCACTATTTCCCCCCTTCTTCTCCCCCACGGTCCTCCGTTAAGTTCCTCCTAATCCTCCTATATGTGCAATTATATGGTATTTGTCCTTCTCTGCCTGACTTATTTCGCTCAGCGTAACACCCTCAAGGTCCATCCATGTTGCTACACATGGCCAGATTTCATTTTTTCTCATTGCCATGTAGTATTCCATGGTATAGATAAACCACATTTTCTTGATCCATTCGTCCGTTGATGGACACTTAGGCTCTTCCTATGTTTTAGCTATTGTTGAGAATGCTGCTATGAACATTGAGGTACATGTGCTCCTATGCATCATTGAGCTACTGCATTTTATCTAGTGGTTCTTTGAGTTGTGTTTCTGCTTGTTTTCAAACTTGCACTTTGAGCTGTACTGCTTTATGTTATATTTACTGAGTTCTGGGCATCTGTTATAGACTTAACTGACCTATGCAGAATTTTTAATAATTGTCATTTAAAGATAAACATATGGGAGTAGGAACCTCCTAAAATGGCATTAGGTCATGCACTCAGTCAAGACCTATCTCTGTGTCTCATATTGAATTGTGTTCTCAATTCTCCCATTAACAATGACTGACACTAAGATTAAGGGAATGACTCTTACCCTGTGATCATTAGTGTGTGTCTCAAGCAGGTGTTAGTCTCCATTCTGTGAAGTGCTCAAGGGAAAGATCAATAACCTGTGCAATATATGGTCCCATCAGGTAGTCACTCATGTGGAGAAAGAGTAGTTACTGTGTGGCATACTGAGGCCAGACTCTGAAAGGCAGATAGTTTACTAGGAACCTGCAAAATGCCTTTGATATTGCTACTGCTTCCCATGCCTTTATTGCCAAAAAAAAAAAAAAAAAAAAAAGGATCCTCTTTCTTAAGTATATATAGGGGTACACATATGTTATAGCTGTGACACAACTATAACTCAACTATTTCCATGAGAGAAGCCCCAAACCCTGATGATACCAACTTAAGGCTCTCTGGAGGAAGACATTTATAGACATGAGCAAGGTAGAAAAAAAATCCTCCTCCCACAAGTATATCAAATAAACACAGTGAAGAAAAAGAGAGAGACAGAGAATAGGAAGGGAAAGAAGAAAGGAGGGAGGGGAGGAAACAAGGAAGGGAGAGACAAAAAAGAAAAAGGAAAAGACATAGAAGATAAAAGAAAGAATGGAATGAAAGAAAGAAATCTGGAAACAAGGAAGAAACAAAGTACTGAAACACATCTAATGCAATTGGAAATTCAAAAGTTACTAAGAGAATTTATGTATCAAAATGATTTTTTTAAAAAGGGTATGGATTGGCTTTGTGCCTCTAGCATATAGGTTCTGAATTAACTTTAACATCTGAAATACACCAATTGGCACATCTTCATGGCCTTAATCCACACTGGAAGTCAAATTACATTTATGCCTGGAGTCTCACTAAATTTAAACAAGGCACCCCTGTAATCATGGGAGAGTTATTGAAACCAAAATAGAGAGCGGTCATACCTCACCTTAATTAATCAGAGATACTGACTTGCCTAAATTCCATCCATGGCTCCCTAAAACATCTCACAGTGGTCATGCACATTCAAACAGACTAAAAGTAAATTAAGCCATTGACACACATTGACTTGACAAAATGGGTCTCCACAGACCTTCCCCTATATGTTCCAATGTAAATTAGAAATGGTCTTTCAAAGAGTGAAACCCATTATATGGGATCTATTTAGAGAAGGGGGATTATGCTTACTATTCCTCCATTCAACAACCCAATTTGGCTTGGTTTTAAAGTTGGAAAGAATAAAGAAATCCCATAGTGGATTACCATAACCTTAATGTCATGGTCGCCCCCATTAAGGCCCCCTACCCAATATTAATGGAATTGCTGACTCTACCCAATCAGCAACTGGTAAAGACTTTGCTTTTATGGATTTGGCTAACAATATTCTGTTCAATATCCATTCCCATGGCCTTTCATTCATAGTTTGTCTTCACCCTTGAAGGGGGACAACACGTCTTTAACTCAGATGCCCAGGGAATGTCTCCACAGCCCTGCCATTGCACACAATCTTTGCAGGCAAGATCTTAAGTGCATCTGACTTTCTACAGAAGCACAAGTATGATATTACACTGATGAATCCCCTCTCTGAAGACATCACTGGACACGCGCATTCAGGACATGCAAATAGAAAGCAGCTCACAAAAACAGAGGATTGAACCATTGCTCCACACATAGTGCAAGTTCCTACCATCTCAGTTAAATACTTCAAATTATCTGGTCATCCAAAGGCTGCCTGGACACTGTCAAGAAATAGCTATTGACCCTTTTAGCACCCACAATACTAGAACAAGCCCAATGTCTTTTAGGCTTTTTTTTTTTTTAGTTCAAGGCAACATATTCCTTATTTACAAATCTTACTTAAGCCAGTTTCTGCTATTACCTGCAAATCAGCCTACCCTGAATGGGGCTCCTCTTCAACAAAAGGCTCTAAAATCTGTCCAAACTGTAATACAATGGACATTACCATTCATGCCCTTCAGAGACTCCTTCATGCTAGAGGCTTTAGCAACCCCCTTTTGTGCCTCTTGCAGTTTCTGGACCAATCATAATGGCCACTTTGCCTTCAAGGTCATTCCATTCTCCCTATGAATCATCAGAGGAACCAATCACATCTGGACAGATTGACCCTCATGGGGTCTCTAGGCTGGTTATAAATCTTGAAAAAAACAATTTTGCACAATAGCTTATATTATAAAAGCATTTTATTGAACACACTCTGGAGGTAGTTAGAACAAGAACAAAATTTGGGATTGGGATGGGAACCCGGTTCTGAAGATTTAGATACCAGAGAAGTTTGGATTCTTTTCACATCAAGGACCATGCTATAGAGACCTAGAGGCTGATTTGAAGCAGAATGTAGAATCATGACATGGGAGACTAGAGACTGGGGATTGGACACTTTCCAGGAACCAAAGAATGCAATTCTGCAATATGCTTGTCTAGACTACACTCCAGAAAGAGGAAAAATTTGGGTTGGGCAACCACCTGGAAGAGGCAGGGCATGGGGTCTGCTGGCTGCACTTGGGAGGCAGTGACTTGCAGCAGGCTTTTAGCTCTTGAAGCTCTTCCGAGAAGAGGAGGTGGTAGATACAAACTTGACACTGGAGCTGCTGCCCCCGCCACTGCCAAAGCCCACCCCCAGGCCTCGACCACTGCCTGCACTGAAGCCAGAACCCCCCACACTGAGCCCACCGCCGAGGCCGACTCCTCCACTGCTGCTGGAGTAGAAGCTTCCACTGCCACCTCCTCCAAAACCACCGCCAAGACCACCGCCAAGACCACCGCCAAGACCTCCACCGAGGCCACCGCCAAAGCCACTGCCACCTCCATAGGCAGAGGACACGCTGTTTGTGATGACAGCTGCAGAGAAAGCAAGGAGAACTTGGTGAGACCAACCCACTAGATTGATCCCACACGTCCAAGTTATTTGATCCTGCTAGTACCTGCACTGTACCTGGCCCCTTTCACAAAGTAGCAAATGAGGCTCAGAACTAAGCTATTTAGTTAAAGTCCCTAACAGAAAGTTGGTGAGCATAGAAGACAAGGGATGATGCTAAGTCCTCAGCAGATAAGGACATGAGGGGAAAATGTTACAAGATGTATAGGATATAAGGCCTACCCTTTAAGAAACAAGACATGAGCCATGTTGGTTCATGTCTCTGTGTTCTTTCCCCTCTACCACCTGCTTCCCACTAAGTGTATTAAATAAATCACATATTGGGATGCGAGGTACTGGTATCTAGAAACAGCAGGATTCTGAGTTGGAGCCAAATATCCCACATTATCATCATCGTTAATGTCTGTTCAACTTTACTTACAGATGTTGACTGGTCCAACTCCTTCTCCACTCAGTCTAAAAAAAGAAAAATTAAATTCAGAGTTAAAAATTCCCCAAAAGACAATACAAGTCCATGTGGATAATTCCCATAATCATGTTTAGAGCTTGTTCTGCAAACAAGGAGACTGAATGCCCAAAAGCTGCTTAAATTTGAGAAAGAGATAGCCCTCTAGAGTGACTTCCCAATGAAAAGGAGTTGACCTAAAAACAGGTTATGGGAGGAAGATTGTAATTTACATTCTCCTCCACCCATTATACGGAAAGTATGAGTAAGAGGCGATGGGAAATATGAATATGTATGAAGCAGTTTTGGCCTGGTAAGAGCTGACATTCTCTGGGAGACTTGGCATGGACAGAAATATTTCTAACAGGAAGGATGCAGTAGTGTCAGAAGATTGCAGAAAACAGAGTAGTTTGGGAATCCAAAGGTAAGTGAATTCAAGTCAGCTTGAGTAACATGAAAGGCTTCCTAAAGAAAGGGGTACTTGAAGAATGGGGAAGATATCTGTTGAGTTGCTAAGCTGTTTGAAGGAGAGGAATGTGATGCTGGGAACAGGGTCAGAAAAATGAGTTGGGGCCACATTGTGTAGGTCAGCTGTATGCCTAGGTGTCATATTGAAATTGGATTAGTAAGGAATAATTATCATGCACAAGACAGTGGTCACTTGTGTCTGTGTGTGTGTGTGTGTGTGTGTGTGTGTGTGTGTGATTTACACCCTGTAGTGGAGAAGAAGCTCCATGTTATCAAATCCGAGGCCATCCTGGGCTTATGAAATGAGCCGTATGTGGCCCACCTGCACTCCTCGCCCTCCAGCAGCTTCCTATAGGTGGCGATCTCCACGTCAAGGGCCAGCTTGGTGTTCATCAGCTCCTGGTACTCCCTGAGCAGCCGGGCCATGTCCTGCTTGGCCTTCTGCAGGGCCTCCTCCAACTCGGCCAGCTTGTGTTTGGCGTCCTTGAGGGCCATCTCCCCGCGCTGCTCAGCATCAGCAATGGCGTTCTGCAGGTTAGCACACTACGGAGGGAAAGAAGGGAGTGGGGGCACTTTAGTAGCTGAGCTAGGCCTGAGGTGTCTCATTCTGAGATTCCAGGGAGAAGCCAGTGCATTTGTCCTGGTCATGGTGGGTGGTGGAACACTGAAATGCTGGAAATTGTTCCAGCTCTGTGAGCCTAAGTTTGTGTGTTTATAAAAAGTAAAACAAAACCAAACAAAACAGAAGTCTCACAACCTTTCCCTACCTGCTTCTTGACATTGTCAATCTCGGCTCTCAGCCTCTGGATCATCCGGTTCATCTCCGAGATCTCTTGCTTGGTGTTGCGGAGATCATCCCCGTGCCGGCCTGCTGTCTGCTGCAGCTCTTCGTACTGAGGCCAGAAAAGAAGAAAGATCCCAATCATGTGAGGGTGGAAACACTTTCCCAAAGTTCACAGGTAGGAGCTACCAAGAGGTGGCAAGTAGTGTAGTTATCTGGGGCCTGGGGCTGGTTTCAGCTTTGTCCAGGTGGACCTGGTCTTAGATAATTTTCCCTTTAGTGCCTTTGCTTTCATAGAGACAGAGGTGTGGGATTCATAATGAGAATCTTCTTAAGGTTCTTGAATTTATATGGCAAATGCATGCATGGTTATTCCCATAAGTCATCCAAAGAGGCCTCAGCAGTTTTCAGAAGCCCTGTCCTTAGCATTTTGTTAACGGCCTGGAATCCTACATACGTGTCCATCCCCTCACTCAGGATATATTCACCACAGCACCCACCTTGGTCTGGTACCAGGACTCGGCTTCTGTCCGACTACGGTTGGCAATCTCCTCATACTGGGCTTTGACCTCAGAGATGATGCTGTCCAGGTCCAGGTTCCGGTTGTTGTCCATGGACAGGACCACAGAAGTGTCTGAGACATGTGTCTGCATCTGGGACAGTTCCTGTGGGGAGATTGGAAGTCAGTGTGAATATCAGGGCCATTCAAGTCTTCCACTTATTATGGTATGTCAACTTGAGAAAAGAAATAAGCCATCTACATCAAAAATTTAGGTAAGTTAATAAACAATCCAAATCTAAATTACTCTGTCTACTTTTTAAAAACCTTAACAGCTCTGAACCTCCAAGAAACCTCTATCATGTAAGTTCTCAGACTCACATCTTCTTGGGTGATACCTTGTTTTAAAAGAATCTAGTTGCATGGTCTGCATGCTGGGAGAAAACAGAGAGGGGATGGCACTCCAGAAAGGGGAGGTGGCCAGGAAAAGAATACTTGCACCTCTAATAACTCACTCCAAACCTCACTCTACAAACTGACTGTTGAAGAGGTCTTTTGCTTTAAATTTGACTTTCTTTTTTTAAAGGGTTGGCTTCATAAGTAACAAAGTGTGAGTAGTTCCAAGGGGGAAGGAGAGACAGAGATGTGTCCACAGCGTAGGAACCACTGAAGTCAATCCTGGAGCCCCTAATTTCTGGTGATGCCCCAGTGGCCATGTCTCTGGGTCCCAAATAGGGGGCATTTCTTACCGCCTCAAAGAACATCTTCATGAAATTGATCTCGTCCATCAGGGCATCGACCTTGGCTTCTAGCTCGACCTTATTCATGTAGGCAGCATCCACATCCTAGGGAAACAGGAATGGTTGGCACTGGACCTGATTTTTACCCTGACATAAATGAACACCATCTTAAGACAGCATAGCCATAAGCTATAGGCTGTCTTCTACCCACGCACCTTCTTCAGCATCACAAACTCATTCTCAGCAGTGGTACGCTTGTTGATTTCATCTTCATACCTGGTGGTAAAAAGGATGGGAAGTGCTGATCAGCAGGTGAGGGACAGGTAAAGCCTGGGGTCTTTATTGCATAAAGACAACTGTGAGGTTGCCTTCCCTCTAGGAAGGCTCTTCTCACATCATATAGGCAGAGAGGGAGGGAACACTGGTAGTGTAAACTCCTGGGCCAGGTCCTCACCCATAAGGATATTGGTTTTTCTGTAACTGCTACCAGATAATCTTTATAGTATTGCTATAATTCAGTTGTTTCAAGAATATTCCTGTAAAGAAGCTGTGCTGTTTCTTCTCAACTCCACATCTAATCAGTTTCCCTAGTGCTTTTCCCCCCACAGCATTCACAGTCTTGTGAAAAAAACAAACCCAAAACGACCAACCCAGGTGCTCATTCATAAAGACTAAAGCAATTATTTGAGCCCCTTAAGTTGGGTTATGTCATCAGTTCCTGCTTTGGGGGCAATCCGTGAGAAGTCCCATGCTGTACCCTTCCAGTGCACTGGGGAGAAAAGCCCCAAAGAGCAAAGATTACATGATGGTTATTTCACCAGTTGGTACCAAGGGCACTGAGCTTGCTGCTTTAGCTGGTGGCTAAGTGCCTTACCAATGGACTGAACTTGGGCCTGGTACTTTCTAAACATGGACTGGATTCTTATCCCCAGTACTTCAGGTGTCCATGGAAAGGTATATGTGTCTAGCCCTTGGGGAAGGCATCAGCGGCAGGCAGTCTGGTTATGAGGTACATCTGAGGCCAAGAAGACACCGCCCGCCCCATCTCTGCTCCCCACAACCCACTTGTTCTTGAAGTCCTCCACCAGATCCTGCATGTTCCTCAGCTCTGAGTCCAGGCGGCCCCTCTCCCCCAGGATGCTGTCCAGCTGTCTCCTGAGGTTGTTGATGTACTGCTCAAACAAGGGCTCCAGGTTCTGCCTCACGGTCTTGGTGCCCTGCTCCTGGAGCAGAGTCCACTTGGTGTCCAGGACCTTATTCTGCTGCTCCAGGAACCGCACCTGGAGAGGGCAGAGTTTGAAGGTGGAGAAACTTGAATTTCAAGTCTCAATGATCAAGTCACCAGTTTTCCTCCCATTTCATGCTGGCCCTCCACACCTCACCACGCTCTGTGCCTGGCCCTGGGCCCCAGGAGGGGAGGTCCAGTGTGAGGTGTCCGACCTCACTGTCCTATGGGAAAGAGTCCACATAGCCTGCACTGTGGGCACAGCTGGGCGGTGCATGGCCTGGTGCAATGGTGGCTGTGAAGGCACTCAGACTACTGCCCAATGAACTCATCTACCTTTCTATTCAATCAGCCCTGTCACATGAGGCATAGAATTCATCTCTTTGTTCCACAGTAATCAAGGAGCCCTTATGGGGTAATCTTTGAAGAGGAAGGAATAGAAGGAATAAGACCCTCTCTTCTAAGCTGCCAATCTAAGAAAATGAGCCAAAAAACCAGCACAAAGAAAACATCATAACAGCCAACTATGAAGATATTTCACAAAGTCAGAAAGATCTCCCTTCTTCTCTCTTTCTTTGGCATTTATATATATATATATATATATATATATATATATATATATATTCATATTGTTTTTTTCAAAAAGAATCCTGGCTCACCTTGTCGATGAAGGAGGCGAACTTGTTGTTGAGGGTCTTGATCTGCTCCCGCTCCTCAGTCCTCACCCGCTGGATGGTGGGGTCGATTTGCAGGTTGAGGGGAGTCAGGAGGCTCTGGTTGACCGTGACCTCTTGGATGCCTCCGGGGGGACACACAGGGAAGCCGGGACCACCAAAGCCACCTCCAAAGCCAGCGCCGCCACCGAGCCCAAAGCCTCCACCGGCTCCACCGCCAAAACCAAATCCACTCCCGGCTCCACCTCCGAAGCCATAGGCGCCTCCAGCACCTGCACCAAGTCGGTTCCTGAAGCTGCCACCACTGGTGCTGATGGAGATCCTCTTGGAGCCTCCCAGGTTGTAGAGGCTCCGGCTGCCATAGCCACCAGCTGCACAAGCACCCCCTAGGCTGACCCTGCCAAAGCCGCCACCGCCACCCCCGGACCGGGACACGGAGGTGAAACTGGTGCGGGACACAGACGGGGTGATGGCAGAGGCAGCGCTGAAGCTACGGCCGCCCCCGCTCCGGAAGGATACACTCGACTGGCGAGACATGATGGCTTGTTCCTGGTGGAGCAAGAGTACTGGGCACTAGGGGTCGGGACGCGCTGGTGAGAACAGAGCTCAGCAGGACGCAGAAGGCGGCTCTGTTACCCAGGAACTTCAATCCCCCCTTTTTATCCTCTAGGACTGGGTTGGGCGGGAGAGCTGCCGAGCCGTGAATGATGAAGTGGGCTGGGCATGCCTGGGGGGCAGCTGTGAGCTCACCGTCACACCTGCACAGTGGTGTGGGGTGCAAACGCTTGCTTCCTGGCAGGCTGTGCTTGGTTAGGAATAACCTTGCCTTGCAGCGCTGATGTCTTGGCAGAAAGTTGGCGATGCTGCCAGCCAGTCTCTCTTCGCCATGGGGGCCCGAGGCTGTGAGCACCCAAGAAGGGCACCAGAGAGTAAGGGGGCATTTGGCCGATACCCTAAGGGGTCCTTACAAGAACAGGGGTGTGGTCAACTATCTCAGCATGGTGTACACTGTCCGTGAACTGGGGGCAAAGTGAGTCCCCCACTGGCAGGGATCCACTCTTTTTACTCTTTTAAGCAAGAGGTTGCTGCAGGGATCTTGGCACTTGGAAAGGCAGCTGTGACCCCAAAGCTCAGCTATGTGCTAGATGGGAAGTTAGACTTCTGTCCTTTGCCTCCCAATTCGCTTTCTTGGGGGAGGCCAAGTTAGCAACCCAGAGCCGCCTAGGCAGATTCTCTGGCAAGGTTTGCACCAGAAAGATTCCCCAAGCGCCAGGCTCCAGAAACAGAGAATGTGGGGCCTCCTCAGCCCCTGGTCTAAACCACTTTGCGCTTGCTGAGGCAGGCCTCTCGCTCTACAGCTCCTCCTGATTCAGGATTTTCTGTGGCTTTGCCCTTTGCCCTTGTTTTTTGGCCTGGGCAGGACCCTGTGAGGACTCAGCAAACCCAAGGAGCCCATGCAATCCCTCATAAAAGGTCCCTAGACTCAGCCTGGCAGTCACATCTCTCTTCAGAGAGAGCTGCTCTGCCTGTCCCCTCCCCCCCGGGCCCCCCAGGTGTGTTCCAGCAAGCCCTCAGTTATTCCACTAGGGAAGAAATGAGTCATCGTATCTGTTGATACAGGCTGAAGGCTGCCACAAACACATACCTGCAGGAACTTCTAATCTCATCAGGAACATGTTGAGAATCTGCCGGCCTCTGTTATAACGGCGAACCGCCCCGTTGCAAGCAGCGGGGACTACTGTGGTTTCTCTAAGCGCCAGCCTAAAGTTCCCTTGAGGGCCGGGAGAATGGAAAATGGAAAATCACGTCTATGGATTGTCCTGCCAGATAGGCCAGGCAGAGCAGATTTGGGGTGGGGGGGGCATGCAGGCAGCTGGGATAGCTCTCCGTCCCTTTGGAGACGACCCCTGCAAGCCCCCTCCGCTGTGCCTGTCCAGGGGGGCTGTGGCACTGCATGGAGGAGGGGAGGTCTGCTTAGGCTTAGCAAGTGTCTGTCGTAAACCCCACCCCTCCTTTTGGCCGCAGACCTGAGTGGGATCACCTCTCGGCCTCCTCCAAACAGAAGCAGAACTCTGAGTCAGCACAACAGCGCTGGGCCATTAAGAGGTGGGGCAGGGTGGGGGGCACCCCTGGGCTGGGGCTGGAAGTCGGGGATGGATTGAAAGCCTCAGGGCTGAGGGGCTACATTCGCAAGAGTAAAGGAATGAGGACCCAGCCCAGGCTCAAGCATCTCTAGTTGGGCCTGCGGTTGGCTCCAGGGAAGCTGGGACTGTGGGAAAATGACTGAGCTGTTGCGGATCAGGAAGATGTGCTTGTTCACCAGAAGGCTGTGATGAGCAAGCAGTGGACAGGTAAATCCAGACAGCTAGACCGATGGCCAGAACTCACCTCACCGGTCTTGGGCAATGAGGTTTGGGGTGCCTCCCTGCCTGGAGAATTCCTGAGACTCTCAAAGATTAATTTTACTGAGCTCACCAATTTCACACTTTGTTGCCTCTCGGGGAACAGATGTGAGTGTCCTGGGGGAACCGGAGACCTACTGGGGGACTCCCAGCACCTGATAGATCAGGTCCAAGCTGGCAGTGGGTGTCTGGGGAGATTGCCATCGGGGTATGCACCCCCACTCCCCCGCACAGGTCCTGGGTACAGTCCCTGCTGCCCTGGGGGAAGCCCCACCCCTCCTCAGACACTGGAGTATTCTCTTCTCCCCATCCCTCCTCCTCCAGGCTGCACTGAGAGAAGAGAAGGCCTCAGTGGAATAGGAATGCACTCTGGCCAGTCTGAGAATCTCTAGAGTGTGCCAACCTAGAATTCAATGCCAGGGACCCAGGGTGTGTGGGTGGCGAGTAACTGTGGCAGGGAGTGTTTGGGTGCCTGACTTGGGGTGGGGGAGAAGCGGCACTTTTCTGTCCAAGCTTTGTGGGAGCCCTCCCCTAAGCAGGTAGGCAGCCCTTCCTGCAGTGCCAGACTCAGACAGCTATAAATAAGGGGGGAGCCAAGCACCAGGAGCAACGCAGTGTGGGAGAGTCCCTCGCTGGCTGGCATTTTGCTGTGGCAGGAAGAGAGGGATTACAGGGAGCTCACAGAGCTCTGCTGGGCATCCACAGAGCGAGTTGCCAAGTATTGGCAGCATACGTCACTTAGCTTTTCCCATCAGCAGAAGACAAATGCAGGGCTACGTGAGCCGTAGTGGCTGGCCCTGCTGGCCTCCCTGCAGAGAGAAGGAGGCAGGACACATCAACCTCCATCATGGAGGCGTGCAGGGATGTCACATATGGGTAGCATTTCCTAAACAGGACGTGCCGCACAGAGTGGGCAGGGAGAAGCATAAATCCAGCTGTCCACAGGCAAGGATTAGGCTAATCTCATGATTCCAGCCCAGGTCCCCCTCCTCAGAGTCCCACCGCAGTCTGGAAGAGATGTGAGGAGTAGAACATACATATAACAGGAGATGGTTTGCACACAGCCTCGAGGTCGCACCAAGCCGGACACTCCCCAGGGTTAGGGAACACCCCTGGCTCACCTTCACCTTGCCACCACACGCTCTGCCCAGCCTTACACACTGGAGGTGCTCAGCAAACAGCTTTTGAATGGAACTGACAAACGTAAGGGATCCCCTCCCTCCACTTCTTTCCCAGATCTTTGTGTGTGGCTCTCCCTCGCCCCATGCCAAGTCCCAGAGTCCTATCCACCTGCCTCTGTCCCCAGGTCCATGTTCAGAAGGTGGTTCCCTTTTCTCCTTCAGCATGGGCACCCTCTGTCGACAGAACTCATGACTCTTCATTCCATGGACTTTGCTCCATTCCTGTCCCACCACCCTGGCCCTAAGAGCACCTGAGCTCACTAGCAGCCCCTGTGCCCTGCCCCAGCCTCTACGTCCCCCACTGGGAGAAAGAAAAAGTTGCAGTGTCCTTGCCTTTGCTTTTGCAGACTTTCTATCCTGTGCGTGTTCAGCAGAAGAAGTGGGGAGCCATAGTTGAGGCATGAATCACTCTATTCACTGGGCAATGTTGGCAGCCCTATCTGGGAGCGCAGAGCCAGATCCGGTGGGATGGGGAAGGGCAGATGCACCGCATGCCAGCCACAGCACCTCTGCACAAAGCCCTGCCTCAGGGAGGAACTGAGGGAAGAATTTCCCTGCCTCCACCCAAAGTCAGCAGAATCTTGCCCGCACCCCACACTCTGGGTCCCACCTTTGATCTCCACTGGATTCTCAGCATTGCAGGGCCATAGAGGACTGGGGATCCTGACACCCCACCACTCCCTCCTGTGGCCACGTGTGCCCAGGCTTCCTCATGCTGCTGAGACTGTCATACCCCACAGCTGCAAACAGACCTGGGGAGGGATATGAATTCCACAAGCAAGGGCTCTGGTTGGTTCCAGAGGTGGGGCCCTGTTGCTGTTATTTGGGTCATGGTGACAAGTGGGCCCTTGGCGTTGACTTTTCTGGTGCAAGGGCTTCACACAAATTGTGAGCTGCAGTTGGAGTTGTGACTGCGAGCTGGCTGGGGTTGGCAGGAAGGGTGGGGCCGACATGCAGGGGGCCCTGGGGAGCAGGCGATGGGCGCCTGTGGGACCGAGCTCTGAGCTGCCCTCGGACAGGCCCCTGCAAGTTTGGGGAATGTTCTTTGCTCATTTGAAGGGTGTTTTGCCAATGGCATACCAAAGCCTTTGAAAATCCCCCTGGGTCGATTGAAACTATGGGCTGGAAATCAACAAATACTTTAATTAGTCAGAGAGTCTTAAAAAGGATATACAGCAAAACCCTCTGTGCTTTGCTTTCTCATGGAGGGCGGTTTTTTTTTTTTTAAGTGAACATTTTTATAGTCCTTCCCACATGCAAGGCACTGTCCTATGAACTTGGCATCTGTGCATCTGAAATGGTGAAGAAGCAAAGAAGCACTTTTACCACTTTCTTGGCATTTGCTTTGGTCCTTACATGTGAGTGTGAGTGTGCCTGGTACTCTGGGAAACTGCAGTACCTTCTCTACGAAGGAGAGGCAGGGACACGACTCACTGATACCAGGCTTCTATCCTGACCGGGTCCGAGGCTGCAAGGAGATTCTCTTGCATCCCTAACCTGCCCTGTCCCCTTCCTCCCTGCTCCTTCCTATGCCAGGACTGGGGCAGGGAAGGCAGAGGCAGAGGCTGTAGCTGTCCTCTGCAGGCTCTGCCGGGTGCACTCCCTCCTTGTCCTGCCCCAGAACAGGGCACGGGGACAGAACCTGGTTTCCATTTGCTACACAGCCCCCCTGACCTAGCTACCTGATCTAGCTAGCTATAATCACATGGGGTGAGTGGGCACAGACAATGAGGTTGGGGAAGAGGGGAGAAAAAAACCCAGGGCCATCTCTGGAGACAAGCTGGGGGTTGGGCCAGTCCTGGAGGCACACGGACTCCTGCCCGGCCCACCCACACCCTCTGCACACTCATGGATCCTGCCTTCACACCCCGTCGGCACAGAAACTGTGGGCCTTGCTCACCGTCCACTGGGACTGACAGTCATTGTCGAGGGCTCATGAAAACAGGTTGGCTTT